TTAAAATGGTTCGAATACCGATTGGATAAATGGCCGACTGATCGTCTAGCCTGGAAACAGACAACCAGTCGTCCAGGGGCATAGGCGGCGTGACTAACTATCCGTACCTGTCTGCAACTATCGGCCATGTAAAACAGTCGGTATAGTGTACAATTGGATATCAGAATATTCAATACTTAAACAAATTTGAAGCAAAACAAAAAATTCATTAAAAAGAAGCCGGTTATTAAAGACCGGCAAAATATTCAGAGCCCCGGCCCCCTGGCCGGGTAAATACAAACAAACGGCACGCAGGCCGTGGAAAGAAGACATAAAGCTTAAGAAGGGGGCAGATCTTCAATATTAGCAGCTGCCGCCTGGTCAGCACTCTTCTTGCTGGACTCGGCTTCAGCTGCATCCTTCTTTGATGCATTACCCCCAAGCGGCACAAGCGCCACTACCGGCTCCTCCTCCTCCGCCAACGCCTCTTCCTCAGCAGCCGCCAGGATCTCTTGATTATATCTATCAGAACACTGGGGGTACGTTTTTTCCCATGAGGCAAAGTCGGCATTGGGGAAGAGGCGGCCCCAAGTCATGCGCTGGATTTGAGCAGAGTCTTCCATCATCTCCCGGACCAGCTCTTTCTTTTCTTGCTCGGCCTTTTCCGAGAGCTCCTGAGTAAGACTCTTCTCCTGGGTCACCAGGCGTACCTTTACGCTCGCCAAGGATTTCTCCAAGGTTTCGTATGAGGACATCTTTTGGCGAAGAGGTCTCAGCTCGGCCTTGAGGTTGTTGATGGTCGCCTCCAGCTCGCTATTCCTCTTCTGGGCCGCCTCTAACTGAGCCCGGATAGCGGCGGTAGCCTGCGCCTGATAATAAAGAATATCAATGGTCTGAACTTCATTTTGGGCAATTTGAAACATTGCCTTATCACAGTCAGAGGCGTCCATAGCTTTTGCAGCCTTTACCTCTTTGTTCTTCCGGTCAAGCGGCTTGCGAAGGCCGTTCACTCGGAGCAGGGCCTAAGTAAAAAGGGGGAACATGCGTCAGTTTCCAAACAAAAAGAAAACAGGCGTCCTGGAATTCAAATACTCAAAAATATGCTAAGTATACCTCAGCAAGGACCCCTGCAATCCCGTCTAGGTCAAGGGTGCCGACACCCCTGACCGCCTCCCTTTCAGCTGGAGGAACGGCCTTGATCATAGACTTGGCCACCTCGACCAAGTCAGGCTCCTAAGGGCCGGCTTCATCAAGCATAAACAAACGGATTAGACCTAGTAAAGAAGGGAGCAAGTCTAAAATTTACAAGGATAATTTCATACTTCTAGGTGGCCCAGCTGGAGTTTTAGAAGAAGTGGTCGGCTGTTTCTCAGCCGCCGCATGTTTCCTGGCAGAACCAGGAGAGCTCGCAACAGTCGTCCTCCGGGCCCTGGGGTCCGGCTGTTGGGAAGAAGAAGCTCTTGGAGCGCCCGTCTAAAAAAGAAGAAAAGAGTCAGTATATGCATAAACACAACTCCAAAAAGAGGGTGAAAGGTTCGAAGCCCACCAAGGGTGCCCCCTTGTTGGGGGAGTCGGTTGAAGACTGTTACATGATGGAGGCCCGCAACATGGCCGCCGCAGTCTTGGAGGCGGTAATTTTGCTCATGGCGTCCGCTGCAAAAACAAATAGCATAGTTAATAAAAGTCATAACAAGAAATGCATGGAACAACAGAGTATTCGACAGGCCGGCTACCTCTTGAGCACCGACTGCTGAGGCCACAGGCGGCCAAAAAGTACTCGTCGTAGAGCCATTTGAAGCTCGGGACGCAGTGCAGGGGTACTTGCTCTCGTACCCCTGAAGTAGAGTTCACCTTCGACTCTACTTTGAAGAGTCCTTTATCTAGGATCTCTTTCTTAGCCTTGGGGGGAACAGGCGGCATGCTGCGGCCGCCTGCAAGAAGGGGCGGACTCCTGTTCCACCTGTTGAAGCGCTTGTTCAGCTCTGTGTCTGAACTCTCAATGATAAGGAAGGTGCTCCGCCAGTCCTTCCATTTGTTTTATTTACCTCTCGTCATGAGGTAGCCCCTATGGCTCGTCAATTGATACCAGCCGGTACCGCCTGCCTTAGGGGTCCGGCTGAGGTAGTTCATGTGGGCGAAAGCCTCGAAGTTCGGCTCCACCCCGTGCAGTTCGCACCCGGCCACATAGCCAAGTACGTTGACCCAAGAGTTCGGGGCTAACTGCCATAACCCCAACTCATACCCATCCAAGATCCGCTGAACAGCCGGATGTAGTGGGAAGCGCAGCCCAGCCTTGATGGCTGCCTCGTAGCAGCCAAAGCAGGCGCCATCATAACTGGTACCAGCCGGCCAGACGACTGTGTCTTCTGGATCCGGCACGAACACTAAAAAGTTGGGGCCCATTGTGTGGTTTGCGATAAAGCTCTCCACTTTCTCTTGCATGGCCGTGATCCGGCCCCGAGGTACCGTGCAGTAGTAGGGGGTATTTTGCTCTCGGTGAGAGGCGGATGGCTCCGCCCAATCGTCCCCCTTCTCAACTGCGTGAGAAAGCCTCGCCTCTTGTAGGCGACTGTTTTTCTCTTCTGTGTCCAGGGAAGCATGGCCAGAAGAGCTAGACTCGGAATCGTCCTCTGACGAGTCCGAAGAGGACGACTCTTCCCCTCTCCCGGAGGGGCCCGCCTCCTCTCCTTTAAAAGGAGCAGGAGAGAATGTAGAATTGTCAACTGTAAAATGGGAAGGGGTCACTTTGACTCCTCCCTCAGAACTGCCTGCTTTCAAGCCGCTTTGTTTCACTTCCACATCTGGCGCCTGGTCAGATGTTTCACTAATCGGCACCCTGTGGGAGGAGCCGTCTGAGTTTGAGATCCTGGCAGTCTTTTTTGTTCTGGCCATCATGCTCTGCATAGACACAGATACAGTCGGACTTTGTATAAAGGGCAAAGATGGGTCCAGAAAAGGGCAGGCGGCACTCCTAGTCCTAGATTCAGCCGTCCTCGGTGACCGGCTGATCACTAACCTAGGTCGTGTCGTGTGCTTCTGTGGTGCCATTTCAAAAAAGAATAAAGTAAAGAGAAAATTAAGAGTAAGAGAACCGACGGTTACCTGAACGAGTGACGATTGATGAAGTTATGAAAATCCTTTGCAGTCGGCTTGTCAGAGCAGGCGGTAGGCAGAAAGGGTCCAAAATGTCAGTGCAAGTTCAGGGGTCCGAATGTTCTCTCACAAAGTTTTCAAGTGTGAAAATGACCGAAGTCAACACTCCTTTATATAGGCGAAGTGAGAAGGCGAAGGGTCACTTCCAGAATTCAAAATTTTGGCGGGAGAATCTCTCGGCCTCTCGCCGAGTGACACCTGTAGCAGGTCGTCGCCTGTTACAGGGCGATACCTGTCACAGGTAACACGTGACCAGTCACGTGCCACCTGTGAGGGGCAAATGATTAGGGGATTTTTCCCCACCAATCACCATCTGACAAGTGGACCAATCAGGTTCCGCCATGTGTCCGTCACATGGGCCAATAGGAGCCTGCCACGTGTCAAGCAATGATCCGTCCACTATGGACCAATTACGACACGACACGTGTCCTTCCCATGACACCTGGGATAACCGGTCACCTAGGCCCAACTTCCGAGGGAAGCCCAATCAGCCCAAGGTTAACCTAAACCTAGATTGGCACGTTTCCCGAGGTTATAAATACCTCCCTTAATCCTCATTAAGGGAGATTACACGCAAAAAACGCAGATTACACACATTAAACACTCTCACCTAGAGAGACCCAATCACTTTAATTTCCGCATTAATTACTCCTTAATCAAGTACTAACTTGACCGTCGGAGGCGGATCTCCAATCATCCGGAGCATCCGTTTGTTTTGCAGGTACAGGCGTCCGGTTCCAGTCTCGGAATTGTAACTCTCCCGCAGGACATCAGAAAACCCCGAAACAGATGTGTTTTAATCGATATTCGATTTATGTTACGTTTTGATGTTGTTATGTATTTTAGACTAATTAATTTTTAAGTGGAAAAAACAATATATATATATATATATATATATATATATGGCACTTTTGGCCAAAAACAACAAAAATATTTTTTTTGTCCATTTTTGGCACCGGTTAACCGGTGCCAATTCCGAGTTTTGGCACCGGTTCGAAGCGGTGCCTTTTAAAACCCCTTTTTGGCACCCCCCACATTGGCACCGGTTCAAACTGGTGCCTTAGGCCAGGTTTGAACCGGTGCCAAATTCATTTTTTCACGTAGTGTATATGTATTATTATTACCTTGAGTCCTTGACAATAATCTTCACTAGTACACAAAAACAAATATATATTACCCTGTAAAACAGTAAAAATACCTATTGGGATTGTCTATTCAACCATTTATAATTAAAAAATTCACATAAAAAAAATTAGAATCGTAAATAACATAGAAGTCAACGTAAGCCAAATGAAAAATCAAAAGAGAAATTAAGTGTATATGTGTTTCGTATAAGCAGCAATATCTATATATTATTAATCTCTTTAATATTTTAGCCTGTACAAGTTCGAAAAAAGTTAATTATGTTGAGAAGTTGACATATTGCGATATTATAATCTCTTTTATAAATACGTAGCTAATAGGACCGTTATAACTACGACTATAAGAAATTACACCAAGTTCTCTCATTCTTTTATCAATTAAATAAAATACATCATACACAATAACCGCGACTAGAAGATATATATTGCACCAAATTCTTCTGATTTCCTTAGAATATTCGTACAAAATCCAATGCATCATACAAAATACTACTAACGTACATGGAAAGCATACATAAAATATACCAATTCATGCTGCCCACGAATTATAGCCTATAAGTAATGAGCTTCGCCTGCAGTCGTGCAACCAAATAACTGATGATTTGGATAACTGCGACAAAGATGCCAAATCCAACTAAGTATTAAAGAATTAAGTTTAACCGGCAAAGTTACCATATATAAGGCAACCAAATGTTATGTTGTAGAGCATCACTAGGTCCTACACTTTCTTAGGAAACCATCAATTGTAAAATGGATCTCTTGCGCATTCTTTCCTTGGCCACTTTGCTTATTTTGTCATCGTTTGTTGTAGCATATGCTAGCGAGGATACACCAACTTCTTCGGAGTATGAGACTCCATCATACACTCCAACTCCTGTAAACGAGTCCCTATCATACACCCAAACCCCGGAATATAGTCCATCTCCAACGTATGAAACCCCATCATACACCCAAACCCCGGAATATAGTCCATCTCCAACGTATGAAACCCCATCATACACCCAAACCCCAGAATATAGTCCATCTCCAACATATGAATCCCCATCATACACCTCTACCCCAGTGAACAGCCCATCTCCTACATATGAGACTCCATCTTACAGCCCATCTCCTGTCTATGAAACTCCAGCATACACTCCATCTCCATCTTACAGCCCCTCTCCCGCGTATGAAACTCCTTCATACACTCCATCTCCATCTTACAGCCCATCTCCCGCGTATGAAACTCCTTCATACACTCCATCTCCATCTTACAGCCCATCTCCCGCATATGAAACTCCTTCATACACTCCATCTCCATCTTACAGCCCATCTCCCGTGTATGAGACTCCATCATACACCCCAACCCCATCATACGGCCCGTCTCCTAAATATGAAACCCCAGCATACACTCCAACCCCTTCCTACAGCCCATCACCTATGTATGAGACACCGTCATACACCACAACCCCGGTCTACAGTCCATCACCTAAGGATGAGACACCATCATACACGTCAACCCCAACCTACAGCCCAGCTCCTAAATATGAAACACCGGTATATAACCCAACTCCATCTTACAGCCCATCCCCTAAGTATGAGACCCCATCATACACTAACTCCCCAGTCTACAACCCATCACCTAAGTATGAGACACCGTCATACACCAACTCCCCAGTCTACAACCCATCACCTAAGTATGAGACACCGTCATACACCAACTCCCCAGTCTACAGCCCATCTCCTAAATACGAAGACTCATCATACACCCCAACCCCAGTTTACAACTCTTCACCTAAGTATGATACTCCAACATACAGCAATGAAACCCCAGCTTATAGCCCATCTGCTAAGTGTGAAACACCATCATACACTCCAGCCCCGGCTTACACATATTCATCTGAGTATGAAACTCCATCATACACCCAAACTCCGGAGTACAAGCCATCTCCAGAATATGAAACCGTAAACACCCCAGCCCCATCTTACATGCCTTCTCCAAAGAATGATGTCCCTTCATACTCTCAATCCCCAGATTACAACCCTTCTTCTACATACAAAACCCCATCAACCTCCTCTCCTACATATGACAACAAAAACTATTACACTCAAGAAAAGGACCTACCTACCCTTTATGGTGTGCAAGGTGTCATCTACTGTAGTTCATGTTATGAATTCACACCAATTGAAGGTATGTTCTTTACACATTGCTGCATCTAATATTAGAGGGTTAAAATGGTTTTGGTTGCAATGAGTTTGTCTATCTATAGAAATGATGGAAATTATAGTCGTCCAAATTTGAAACAATATTTTAATAAGATTGTCAGTTATCGACATTAGTATGATATTGTGAAGAATAAATCTAGGGTACAACATGTCTTAATGAAATTAGAGTGATTCCATATTTTGCATAATTGATTTTATCTTGCATTTCCTTATTTATCGACGTGTTACATCATTAACATTAACCGAATAAATAATTTTATTTAAGTTGGCGTTGTGTACTTGTATCCAACACGTAAAAAAAGTGAGGTATAAGATGAGATTATTTATGGGACATAACACATGATAAAACGATGTAAGATTACTCTATATAATAAGGAAAGGTTATTATATAGTTGACTTAGGCTTTATCTTGATCGAGACTAATATTATTTTATGCAATGTTATTGAGCAGGAGCTGTAGCCAAAATTTCTTGTAAAGCAAAGCATGGATACAAAGAAGCTAAATTCTCCATGTTAACCCCTAAAACAGACAAAAATGGCTACTTCTTAGCTACATTTACTCCTGAACAACTTGGTGACCATTTGAAGCCAACAGATTGCAAAGTTTCCCTTAAAAGCTCTTCATCAAAGACTTGTAACGTTGCTACGAACGTGCACCTAGGAAGATCAGGAGCTCCCCTCATCTATACAGAGCATCTTGCAGGGTACCAAAATGCATACAACTTGGATTTGTATTCTGTTCCCATTTTTGCTTACACTTCTAAGACAAAATGTGAAAATTATCCAGCTTACCACAAAAAATCAGGTTACAAGGCTCCTACATACACCCCATCAACCTACACTCCTAAATCGAGTTACAAGGCTCCTACATACACCCCATCAACCTACACCCCTAAATCGAGCTATGAGGCTCCGGCTTACACCCCATCAGCCTACGCTCCAAAATCAAGCTACGAGGCTCCTACATACAAGCCATCAAGCTACAAGGCTACATCATACACTCCATCAACCTACACTCCTGAAGCAAGTGACAAGGACCACTCATCATGCCCCCCACCAGCCTATACTCCAAGCTATTAAACTCCATCACATACTACTCCATAGTCGAGTTAAGAAACTCCGGTGGTTATACTCCAAACCCACTGGACGAAGCCCCTACCTACACCAATTATGGATATTAAGAAAGAAAATATTATGATTTCATTCATTTTCCACTATATACTATATCTATATCCTTAATTTATACCTAACTTAATATCAAGTTATAGATGGCCGTTACTACTGTGCTATTTGTATTACAGAGAATTATAATAATACTAATTGTCTAAGTCTTTATATTAGCATTTAACTTTGTGTTCCATAAAACATGCTTCTAAACTTGTTACTCCTTATAAACTCTCAAAATCTAAGATATATACAAGAATGTGTTCTTAGTGACTACTAAGAGCAATTTGAGGCCTCAAAGTTAAGTTTCAAAGTACACTGCTTAGCATCTCCAAAGTGAATAATGGTGTTATGGGTACAATTTAAGGAATTACTCGTAGTTTTTAGGACCGGTATGTCTCTCTGATCTGATCTGAAACTTGCACAGTGAAGATATGTCAACTACCCTTGGGGTGTGTTCAATAAAACCCGCTCCAACAATGGTAAATTAGTGATATCAGATAGATAATTAAGTATACATGCCTGCATTGAGTAAATTATAATAAATCTGTTTAAAGATGTTGTATTACTAGTCAAATTTTGGGAGGAGATTCTCTACTGATTATTATTAGTCAGTTGCTCTTTGAGACCTGTAAGAGTCAACCAAAAAAAAGCTCATGGCAGGTTGCAGGGAATAGTAATTTCAAATTTTCGATAATAAATGTGATGTATGTACAATATTCCTCATTGACCAATTCTTCTTAGAATTCAGATGAGGTGATTCAGACTTTATAAACCTCAGGCAATCCCTGTTATGGACATCCGAAGAAAGTGGTCTTACACAAGGATTGGCGAATTTGAATGACTATTTTTAATGAGACTGGATGGGTTCTCTTGTACCCAGATTAACGGCTTACCTTGACATGCTGTCCACAAGTAATTAGTCATAAAGCAGTGGCCAGATCACCTGCATTTCTACAACCAAATGCTCAAATGAACGCGTATGTAACAAAATTCAACTGTAAGCTAAGCTTCAATCTATCAGGGATTTCATCTCAAAGTGCTTCTTTCGCTTTCAGTTTATTACCTTATATAGCCTCCTTTAATGAATGCTGCTCACACAACATTCAGAATCACGGGTACAGGCCATCAGCTGAGTACAGTACAGCAGTCCACATCGTCAATGAAGTCCTCTGCATGAATATCAGTATAAAGTCCACTGGGCCACTACCATCAGAATACAAACCCTTGTTGAAGTTTTTATAAAAAACAATACAATCTGGCATCCAGCTGAGCACAAGGCACCAGCTCCAGGCTCGGTAAAGTACATACGTCATGATGTTATAGACTCATACCCTACCCTATTGACTCAAAAACCAAACCAGAATCTTAAAATTTTAGCCGCTGCACCAAAAGTCAGGCAAACCAGCCTCACTTAGCTTCCAATCTTCATCAGCAACTTACAGTCTTGCACCAAAGTTGGATGCCCAACACCAAATTACAATTGCATGCCATAAACAGAATCCAAGACTCAAGAATCAGGAGTATAATGTAATCACCAACTTACAGCCCCACCTCTGAATCCAAGGCTTACATTTACTTATATACAATCTTGGTATAAAATCTAAGAACTCTGGAAACGCAAATTAAGCTACACTGCATGTGTATGACCCGTCTCCTAAAATCTTAAGTACAAGCACCAGTTTGACTCGCTATAGTGTTTAAAACACCAAGTATTCTGTGATCCTCAGTTGTTCCTGTAAACCTACTATCATCTCATGAAGACTGCAATGTCCAGAGTAAATAAAAATTTAAGCATGAAACCACTCAAGCATTGGATACAACCTCTATGATGAATAATTGCATACAAATCACAGATCAGATTCAAATATTGTGTAATCTCTATAACAATTCTAAGAAAATTGCAGCCCTTGATCTTAATAATCTCATATATTTGATACTCGTATTCAGTTATTATATCAATTCAGAAGATTATTTGGTACAGCGTATTAGTATTGCTGATTTCTCCTTCAATCACCTCATTAGTTTACTGACATGCCAAAAAAAAGTACTTCAAAGAGTATTAAACTAAATTCACTGGACTTAACAGAGATTAAAACCCAGCAATATGATTCAACATAATTTACTTCAGATTATTTATGCATGAAATTACCAAAATCAATTAGATCAGTTATTTACAGCCCCATCTCAGAGTCGGGCTCAAAAAATGCACATCAATGCCTACATTAACTTGTATACAACCTTGTTCTAAAGTCTAAGAACTTTGGAAATGCCAATAAACTAAATTACTTGCGTACGACTCCTCCCCTAAAGTTCTAACTATAAGCACCAATTTTTACTCAGTTGTGACAGTAAAACTGTAACAAAGTAGATCTCAGATTCAACAAATCAGCAGTCTCTATAATAGTCCTAATTCTCCAACAGTCGTATCCACTTCAAGATAGATTCAGAAGATTTGCTTCAGGCATTTCCTAATCATTTTGGTTCAGCATATTTCTACAAGAAAAAATACTTCAGATTGAACGAAACTAAATGCACAGAACTAAACAGGGAAATTAGAAACCCAACCACTGATTTAATTAAACTAACTTCATATTTGTAATAATATTACCAAAAACAATTGCACCACTTGATAATATTGAATAAAGTGAAACTAACAACAAATTAATTCTTAGAATTTAGACGAGGGGATTCAGACATTAATAATCTCAGCCTCTCAGGTGATCCTTGTGGATATCCAAAGGAAGTAGTCTAGCATTGGCTGTTCTAATTAGATTAAAATAGACGAATATGAATGATAATATTCTAATGAGACTTGAGGGGTTCTCTTGTCCCCAGATAGACTGCTTGCCTTGATATGCTGGTTATCAACCAGTGGCCATATCACCACCGGCATTTCTACAACAAAATTTAACTGTAAGCTAAGCTTCAATCTACAGGGATCGCATCTCAAGTGTTTTTTTTTTTTCACTTTCACTTTCTTATAATTTTAGTCATACCTCGTTTACAGACTTATAGTTATATAGCCTACACTAATAATTAATGAAAGTTGCTAAAAACAAAAAATCAGAATCTCAGATACAGTCTCATCATCTGGGTACAGACATATCGCCAATTAAAGTCCCCTGCATGACTGTCAGTTAGGCTACTGCCAACAGAATACAAACCCTTCTTGAAGATTCTAGCAACATTCAACACCAATACAGCCCTCTTGCATTGTTTAAGGCACCAGGCACACTAGGGTATATTCATCATGATGTTAATATGTTATAGGCTTATACGAGTTATGCACTTATGCCCAACTCTCAAGCCTCAAACTCCAAAGTACAAACCAGAATCTTAAAATTAAAGCTTATACATCAACAGGCAAAAGCAAAAATCATCAAGACAGCTAAAACGTGTCCTCAATTAGCTTCCATTGCCTACTTACAGTCATGCACCGAAGTTGGACGCAAAGCACCAGATTACAATTACAATCAAAGACTAGGGATTCTAGAGTATACAGTCAATCCCGAGTCTGAGTATCACCTATATACAGTAATACTCATACTTACATAGTTACATCTAAAGCCATACAGTTTGAATCCAATGTCTAGGAGCTCTGAAAAAGCCAACAAACTACACTACCTATATATGGGCAATATGGCTACTCTTAAAGCCCCAAGAAATGAAGTACAAGCACGATTCAACTCACAATTAGTGATTAATACCCAGGTATCCTACAATCATAAGTTGATAACCCAATTGTTCCTATAAAACTGTTTTTGTCTAATCAAGTCTATAATGACTAGAGTAGAGATTGCTTAACTTGTAATACAACACGTACAAGGAACACCTAATTACAGATCTCAGATTCGACAAATCAGTAGTCCCTAATAATCCTTAGGAAATTTTAATCCTTTTTCTCCTACCATCTCAAATATTTGATACTCGTATAAATTAACAAACCAATTCAGAAGATTAGGTGAAAGATTTTGTAATCATATTAAATTGCATTGCTCAGCTCTCTTTGAATCACAAAAATACTTCATACCCCCTATTAAATTAAAGCCACAGAACTAAACATAATAATTAAAATCAACCTCAGATTTACCATAAAATTACTTCAATTTAATGATTATAATTACCAAAATCAATTAGACAAATTTATATAATTAACAGAGAACAAAATAAAACATATTGTAACAAACAATTAATTAGAAATTTAGAACAGTCTTAACACTTTCATTGATTAAGATTCACAAGTACATATACCAACTACATAATAAAACTTCTACTAACCAGCTTAGATTCGAGAAAAATCAACTGGATATTCATATTACTACCACTAATATCGCAAAACCTAACCCTAGAAATTCCAATTCAATCAAACTAAGCCCTCTCACCACGAATCCTTCGGGCAAGCTGGATATCCTTGGGCATAATAGTAACCCTCTTAGCGTGAATTGCGCAGAGGTTAGTATCCTCAAAGAGACCAACCAAGTACGCCTCGGCAGCCTCCTGAAGAGCGGCAACAGCAGAGCTCTGGAAACGGAGATCAGTCTTGAAATCCTGAGCGATTTCTCTGACAAGTCTCTGGAATGGAAGCTTCCTGATGAGAAGCTCAGTACTCTTCTGGTACTTCCTGATCTCACGAAGCGCAACGGTTCCGGGTCTGAAACGGTGGGGCTTCTTCACTCCGCCGGTGGCTGGGGCTGACTTCCGGGCTGCCTTGGTGGCGAGTTGCTTCCTTGGGGCCTTTCCTCCGGTGGATTTTCTGGCGGTTTGCTTTGTTCGTGCCATTGTTGTGGGTGATAGAGAAGATGAAGGTATTTAGAGAGGGAAAGTTGAGTGAGATTTTATTAGAGAGAGAAAGAATGAATGAGAGTGAAGAAGGCGGGATTGATGAGATTTTGAGGAGAAATGAGAGGTTGTTTTATAGTGAGGGGTGAAATAAGGGTGGGAGTAGGAATGAGATCTGGACCGTTGTTGAGTGGAGTGTTATATGGTTATATCTACGGTTGAGGATTGTTTATGAGGGTTTAACACGGATTGTGGATCATGGATCGATGACGTGGATTACTGCTTCCCGCTTTGCAGAGTACTTTTAGTCTTTTGAATTTTACTGCGGCGGTTTCGTTCGTTCTTTTACAAATTCGGTTTTGTTTATGGGACTGATTGTGTGGCGGACTGGCGGGATTTCCATTTACTAGTATATATTTTTATTTTTATTTTTTTGAAAAAATTCATTTTAATTTTAAAATTTTTTTTTTTTAAAACAATAAAAATAACGGTTTTTTCAACATATATACACCTAACTTTTTTGCATTCACCATATACATCCGAGTTATTTCACAAAAATACACTATATACCATTGATAACTAATGATTAAGTAATGATCGTTAGTTATTAGGGTTGATTATGCCTCAAAACCACCCTAAATACATTCTCCTACCCTTCAACCACCTACTTTCCCTTTTTCCACACCAAATTTCCAAGGAGATGCATAGTTTGGAGGATAAGGAAAGATATAAGGTGATTTCGATGCATAATTAACCAAATTTCATTCATCTTGTTGTCATTAAGGATATATAATTATGGGGAATTTTTGTAAATGTAAACACAAATTTTAAGTTTGTTCTAGATCGAAGACAGTTGATGCATAACTTCGACTTTGGGTTCTTGATTGAGGGTCGACGAAGCTTGATCTCTATTTAATATATTTGATATAGACTTGAATTGTTGATTTAGGGCAGACGAGGTTTGTAGACACCCAAATGTGTCTCCCCAAAACCAAACACAGTGATGAATACCTTTCGGGTCATTTGATTATCGAACGAATTGAAAGTGTGAAAAGTCTGATGATGCGGTAGTTTTTATTAAAATATCTCTCTTTATGTTTTTGAAAATATACTCTATTTATGATAATAGCCAATTCAATTTAGTTTGGTCCATGATAATGGTCCAATACTAGTGTAGTTGGATTGCGCTCGCAAAGAGCTTTCCAACGATATATTATAAGCCCAATTCCGATGAATAATGAGAAAGTTATGGCCAAAATACTAAATTAGGCCCTAAATGAATTTTATATGCGGCCTAATGATCTAGAGGAGGGTCTATTAATTATTATTCCTAAAGTTATTAGGATTGACTTCAATCTTCTAGAATAATCTAGAAAGTTCTTTTAAATCCTAATGGAATTAGGAGTGATAATTATATTTTTAAAGAGTTTTACTTGGAATAAAATAAGTGTTTTATGATAAACCCAGTTTTAATTTGATAAACCTGAATTTACTGCTTAATCGTATTAAGAAGAGGATTCTGCGAACAAAGCACATTTTATTTCTGATTCAGCGCAAGGAGATAACCCTGTCGCCGGATGACAAAGTATGTCACCTGGCGCTGGTGCCTGTCGTCTGGCACTGGCCCCTGTCATTTGCGACATGAGGTTTTTTATTCCAAATGGAACTTGATTTCTTTTCTATCGGTTTTCGGACTATTTTTCTATAAATAGGGTTTTTGGCCTCCGTTTTCAAATCACTAACAATCATCAACAATTTCTCTTCTCTCTAAAGCTAGAAGCTTATTCTCTCTATTCTTTTTCTAAACCTTTCCCTCTTACAAAATTCCACATTCACAAGTTCTAGACACACCTAGCCAAGTTCGGAGTTGCCTTCGCCCTAAACATAAAAGGTTGATAATTTATGAGGTTTTGGTCCCAAATCTCTATTTCAATTATTTAATTTGATTGTTTATTTATTATTTTTCTTGAAGTTATTAACGTGGGTATTTTGTTATTAGAAGAGATACGAGGCATCCAAGTAAGTAATTTAATTGTTCTTTTGGTTTAGAAAGCATGTTTATATTATTTTTATTCCTAATATCATGTTAGTCTTTATGATTCCTAATATCATGTTTAGGGTAATAAATAACTAAGATTTCTAATATCATGTGTGTTTCTAGTATCATGTTTAGATTGCTTCTTATCTTCTTTCTATTGTTTAGTGACACGCTGGGAATTGTCATTAATCCTGTTAGTATCATTTCTAGGATCTTGCTATTAATATTATGTTTTATTGTTAACATGGTTGTTATGATAATTGATATGATCATTATTGTTATTGTATATTGTCGCTTGATATTATTGTTGTTATTGTTTGATCACGCCTTTTATGCATGTTTAAAGGGAATTTGCACTTGTAACCACGCTTAATAAGAAAATTAATAATCTTGTTTAGGCTAATATGATGATAATTCAAGTGATCGCCAATAATAGTTTTGTGTGTGCATTAATATTCAACCAATGTAGAGTAAACAGGTTAGTGTTAATATATTGATTGTATTTTAGTCATAAAGCGCGCATAAATATGATAAGAATAAAGTAGATGCCTATTTTTAGGGCAGGTTTAATCTCTTTTAGGTTGGATTTGTACATTCATCCCCGAATATCCAATTATGGTTCCATCCACTATGGAGTTAGCGATCTCACGGATCGTGAAGGGGTGTAAGCTTCACCCTGTGAACAGTTTACATATTTCTAAAACTTGTTGGCGACTCTTTTACTCTCTAACTTTCTTTCCTTTGGACGCCACCATGTTTAAGTGTATGATCACAGTGGGATTCAAGTTTTGGATGCTTGAAATGTTCCCTACAAGATTTAATCTTGATGTAAAGGATGACGCGCTTGATGTTCCGAAGTTCTTCCTTTCTCTGTATTGAGGGTCGTCGAGGCTTGATCTCTTTCCATGGGTGATCTTGTAGAGTACGTAGAATGGCACTTTGATGAGAGGTTTTCTCTGGAGATTAGAATATTTAATCGGCTTTCTCTGTATTTTGATTCTCCTTCTTTCCTCCTCTCTCTAAATGAAATATAGAGAGCTCTATTTATAAAGTAAGTGACTCCTAGGTTTAGGGTTTGATATACATTGGAGTTGGTCTTAACCCATTTTCATAGTTTTTTACTATTAAATAAACAATTTAATTAAAATGAGCTAATTTACTTAATTTCACCCAAATATTTATTTATTTTATTTGAAACCACCCAAAATAATTAATATATAGTCAAATAATCAAACATGGGTCAATACTTTAACTTTTAACCTATATTTTATCCAATGTAGCACTTATATAAATTTTATGTGTCTACAAATTGCCTCCTTCGAGATAGGCCACGGACACGATTTCGGAGTCTTTGATCGAGATCGGACACAACATTTAAAAAAAAAAACTCAAGTCAAACTTTATAATACCGACGAGAATGACAAGGTGTTTGGCTTCATCTTTTATTTTTTTTTTCTCTTTTTAAAAAATTTTATTTAATGTGAGATATTCTTGAATTTGTTGGGCCAATTTGTCATAGTAGTATAAAAGTTAGCACCTTTGTGACGTATTGGTGTAAAAATTATTGCCGGCGATAAATTGGTATAAAAGTTAGCAATTTGTGACAAATTGGTATAAAAGTTAACCAACGACGACATATTGGTGTAAAAGTTAACATATGATGACATATTGATATAAAAGTTGGCTAACGATTCTAACTCACACTACTACAAAAATGGGCAAAAGAACCTACAATAAAAGACCCGTTAGTTAATACAACCAGTCTGTTTAATATAAGGGAGCCAATATTAGAGATAACGGGTCTCTAACATATCAAAGGCCCCACCAATAATTCGGGATAGATGAAGAGAGAAAACTAAGAGACCCCTAGTTAAACTTAACGGCTCTCTTATGTGAGCAAGGGCCCACCACTTAAACAACAAAACCCTACCCCTTTCTCTTCTTATTTCCCTAGCTTTACCACACCATTCACGCCGTTTTTTGTCTTTCTCTTTCTCTTTCTTCTTCAATCCTCTTATCTCCTTTCCCAGAGCAAAAACGCCGCTACCACCACCTCCTTAACGTCGATGTCGCTTATCTCTTCCTTAACGTCGATGTCGCTTATTTCTTCCGTCCTCAACATTAGCGTTGCTTCCTCCTTAACGCCAAAGTCACTTTGCCGGGGATGCGACGGTGTCGAGTTGATGCTTAAATTGGTGTTGTTTGAAGATTTTCGCTACATCTTTGGTAAGCAGGAGATTGTCGTTTAAGATGAATTTGATTTATTTTTAAACTTCTTAGGTAATTTTTAAATTTGGGTTGTTTCACATTTTTGTGTAATTATGTCATATCAGTTGAATTTATGGAGTATTTTTTTGCATAACAATCGTTTTTGAGAGCAAAAAAATTCAATAATCTTGGTTTTTGTGTGAAATTAATCAGGGTTTATTAGTATATTTTTCTGGAGTTTGGTTTATTAACCCTTATTGTTCTTCGATTTATACACCATTTGTGATTATAGGTTGAACCGTAACTACTCTCTTACGTTTGTTGCTTAAATTCGCTGAAAATCAAGTCCGAAAATTGAACTGGGCATGCATCTAAATTTGTTGCTATTCTCTACATAACTCATCGATTTGCTGGAGTCCAATTTTTTCTTGAATTTTGAGGTACTTGATTTCATCCCTTGTTCCTAATTTCTTGAATTTAACTTATTTCTTTTCTGCCTTTGTTTTATTTTTATTTTTTCTTATTGGCAGAGTTCATTTTCTGTCTTCAATCTTCACAAGAAAAAGGAAAGAAAGGAGGTCGGTGCATATACCCAGGTCAAAGTTCATTATTGAATTCTATTGTAATTAGAGATTAGAGAATTACAATGAGACTAATGTAACATTTTTTTTATTATTCTTTACACTATTGCTCAAGTAGTACATTGCTGTGTTGTAACTCTATTTTGCTTAATTTCAATATCATTTTATTTTTTGTTATTTTGTTTTTATGCTTATTTATTTATTTTTTTTATATTGATTTTTGCTCAACTCCGCCAATTTTAATAGTGCGTGACATTCAAATTTCAAAAATCAATTTTTTTTGTTAAATTAAAGATTTAACAGACCCGTTGTGTAAGGTACCAGGTTTGTTTAATCACTAAACAGACCATAGATTTCATATAACGGGTCTCTTTCCCTTTTAAAATTATCTCCTTATAGGTTATAGAACAGACCGCCTATCTCCAGCAACGGATCTGTTTGTTCTAACAAACAGACCCCCCTTATGATGGGGTCTCTTTATCAAACAGACCCCTGAGATAGAGACCCATCCAAAAGCGGTCTCTCAGGCTTTTTTGGACGGGTCTCTTTGCTTATTTTTAAGATTTACACTGCTTGAGCATTTAGCTCATATTTTTCATTATCCTCTTTTTCAAATTCAGATAGTGGTTTAGGAATTACCTCTTTGTTCGCATTGGTTTTTGTTACCTCGAAGTCACCACTTTCAATGACTCTCCATACTTTATAGTTTTCAGCTTTGATGAATATTTCCATTCTATTCTTCCAGTAGGAATAGAACTTGCCATTGAACATTGGTGGTCTTTGGGTCGAGTACGCTTCTTCAAGTTTCTCGTGTGCATTCATCTCTCTGGGAACTTGCTCTACAAGGTTGCTTATATTTTCTTGAGAACCTGCTCTAATACCAATTGTTAGTTTAGATGAACTACTACGAGAAGGGGGTGAATAATAGTAGGTTACAATTATGAAACTTAAGCATAAATTAAAAACAAAACATAAAAGGAACTTAAAGAATACAACAAGATTTTACAAGGAAACCTTCCAGGGCCTAACTGGAAGTAAAACCTCGGCCCTTCTCGGGACTTTCAAGCAAACTCCACTATAATAGGCAATTCTCCTAGTACAACCTATTATTACAAACCTTTCTCACAAGTTCCACCAAGAACACTTGCTACCTTATAGGAACCTACATATCCTACCCAACCTGAGACCCACTCAGGTTCTCTCAACACTACTCAAGTGCCTACACTCTGCTTCACACCTAAAGCTCACTCTATGTGCTTTCACTGCTATCACTTGAATTTTAGAGAAGACACACTCCTCCACTCAAGTGTGAATTATCAAGAATTCACAAACTCCCCAAAAACCAATTACAACACAAACACTACTAGCAAATAGGTCATTTCCGACGGACACTAAAATCCGTCGGAAAGTACGAAATTTCCGACGGATTTTATTTCTGTCGAAAATCCGCCGGAATATTCTGACGGAATTGTAATCCGTCGGAAAATTTTGTACTTTCGACGGAAAATCCGTCGCAACTGTTATATTTTCCGACGGATATATATCCGTCGGAATTTAAGTTTTTTTTTTAAAAAAAAAAAAACAAAAAAAACCCCAAACCCTAATTAAAAACGGCGCCCCCTCCCCCTTTAAATTCTGATTTTTCTTTCTCTCACCTCTATTCTCTCTTCGCCTCTCCTCTATTTCTCTCTCCTTTCCTCTCCTCTCTTCCTCCTCCCTCTTCTTTCCTCAGTTCTCACGGTCTCCTTTCTCCCATTATCTTTTCTATTTTTCCTCCTCTTCTTTCCTCATTCTCTTTCTCAATTCGAACTGAACTTTTTTGCTCAAGATAATGGTTCTCACGGTCGCCAATGGTTCTCTTTCATTCATATTAACGGTTTATACGGTCAAATTCAACCATGAAATCTCTAGATCTAGAGGTTTCAGGGTCGAATTTAGGTGTATTAAACCAAAGTCGGCTTAGAATTCAAAGTTTCGGTTGTTAAGGCATGTTTTCTTGTTTTATTTTTTTTCTTTTTTTTTCTTTTTTGGTTGTTTTTTTTTGGCGATGGTGGTGGTTTTATGATGGGTAATACGGCCGGATTTGGTTGTATTGGTGGTTTTGGTTGTTGTGGTTGTGGTTGTGATTTTTCTTTAGGTTTGTGTTAATTTTTGGGTGGTTCGTTGCTGCAGATCTGGATTGGTTAGGGTTAAGTGGGGTGGGTTCAAGTGGTGGGTGGTGGTGGGTTAAGTCAGTGCAATTTTTATTTTTTTATTTTTTTTTCTGGGTTCGGGTGGTGGTGGTTAGGGTAATGGGTTGTGGTGGTTGGAGGCGGGGATACGCCGTGCCGGTGGTGGCGCGGTGTTTTTTTTTTTTTAATTTCGTTTAAGAATTTTCCGACGGAAATTCCGTCGTAACTTTCCAACGGAAGTGAATCCGTCGGAGTTTGCGACGGATTTTTCTGGCACTTGAAAACCCTTTTTCGAGGGAAAAATCCGTTGGAAATAGTGGTTTTTCCTACAACCCCGTTTCCGACAACCATTTCCGACGGAATTCCGTCAAAATCGCCATTTCCAACGGATTTCAGGGTGTTTCCGACGGAAAAGTTCCGTCGGAAATGGCCTGTTTTCTAGTAGTGAAAGACTCACTCTAATATATAAATGGAAAGCTACACATGAAAACCGAAATCAAAATGATAAAGCTTAAACCTTTGGCAAACTTACTCTTAATTACTAAGTGAATTTCACGCTTAAAGCTCTCATTTTACTTCGCTGCATTACTTCTATATATATATAGGTCCCTCAGCTCATAAAGTTGGGTTTAGCAAAATGATAAGTTCAAACGGAAATTCATTCTTATCATTTTAATTTCGTTTTTAGGAAAACCTTTTTCTAATCATATTCATTTTATTTAAAAGATAAAGTTTTATGAAAAAGATAAAACCGAGTAAATCATATTTTAAAAGGTAAAATCAAATAAAATACTTTTTCTTAAACCTAAGCTTATCTTCTACGAATTACTTAGTTTGCCTAGCTCTATCTGATTTCTAATAAGTTTCATGCATAACAACTAGATATATTTACATCATCCTAGAAAAACAAACTTTCTTTATACAACCTAAGTTATGAAGTCCATCTTTTTCGGATGATATCTTGAGCTCTGCTCTGATCCTTGGTTGTTGAGGTTTGCCCCAGCATTACACCGGAACCAAGTTGATACAACCCGTTGCGAAGTTCTTGTTAGGAAACTCCTTTAAGTTCCATTTCTGGAACTCTTCTTTTGTCTTTACTAATCATCCTGGGCCTTCTAAAATTCATCTGCTTCAGTTCCTACTTCAACTCCTAGAGTCTACTAAACCTGCAAATATCACAACACTAGAAAATCCTTATTAGATGGAAGTTTGCTCAATCACAAATTCACAACCATCATCATCAAAACTCATAAGGGTCAACAATTTTCCCCTTTTGATGATGACAAACTGAGCAAACTTCTGAGGATAACAAAGTAAAGCAGAATGTTAGTTTTTTCATTTTTTTAAGCTAAGTAAAGAACGTACACTATACAAAATTGACCCCACCCGAAATGACCAAACTCGAAGTTGATTCAAAAATCGAAATTGACCCATCCCGTTCTGACCCAAATTGATTAACCCGAACTGACACAACCCGAAGTGACCCGATACTATATGACCCGACACGAAATAACCCAACCCAAAATGACCTGATAAGGCGATAGGTAGTCACATTTGATTTTTTTTTTTAAAAAGAAATTAACTTTAGCTTTGAATTATTATTATTATATAAAAATTAGTCTTATTATTAAAATAAGAAGGATTTTCCCATAGATTTTTTAAGTTAATTTATATTTGGCGACTCGACCCGAACCTAACAAGACTCGAATTGACCCTACCCAAACAAACTGTAATCCCCCGTATTTTTCTAATATAATTATTTATTATTTTTACAATATTTTAATTTTAATTTTATAGTATGAATTATTTTGATGTAAAAGTAATAAAATTAACTATTAAGTTATAATTTAAATTATAAGTCTTTTTAAGTTAGTAGTCCAATGCTTAAATTCTACTCAAGCCCAAACCATACAATTCCTGCTCCTAATAAAATTAGGAAACTAAAGCCCAAATAAAAATACAAAAACCCTCACCTCTCTTCCTCTCTTTCACGTGAAACACAAAGAGAAAAAAAAAAAAAAACCTCACATCTCTTTTTCCTCTATTTTACGTGAAACCAAGAGGAAAAAAAACCCTCAAGGCCACCGACGCCCTTGCACCGCCGGTGCACCATCGCTGCCCCCACTGCCGCACCTCTGGCCACTAGCAGCAGCCCCCTTTGTAGTAGCCGCCCTTCTTCCTCCCTTTTTCTCACTTCTTTTATTTTGTAATTTTGATTTAAAGCTTCAAATTTTATTTGATTTCAATTCTAAATTATTGTTATTAGGCTTTGATAGTATGTTTAATTTATAAAAGATTATAAATTTATGAGTTTTAGCCTGTTTAAATTATTATATAAAATTTCATATTATATATGTTGTATAATTTAGGGTTTAAACATTGATTTTTCATGTTTTAGGGCTTGAAAACGTGCTAATCAAGTTATCTAATTATACTATGTTTAAATTTTGTTAAAGTATAATTATTTTGATCATATATAAATTTTCAGATTATTAAAGTTTCGATTTTTATGAGCAAGTTATGATAATTTCATGTTTTTATGATTCTAAGCCTACAAAATAATTATTGTGGGTATTTTATGATTAAAAAGCTTTGAACTTTAAATTCTAACCTTAAAAATAATTTTCAAATTTCATACTTTTTATTTTGAAGCCTCTAATTACATTGAATTGATATATTTTTGGGTTTTTAACACACTAACTTGCTATATAAGGATTATTTCAAGTAATTATGCTTATAGGGTTATTTTATATACTTAAACCAAATTTTCAGATTTATTTACTTATTTATAAAGTTGCTGTAATTTGATATTAAACACTATATTTTCATAATTCTAACATACAAACTTATAGTTGGGATGTTATATTATTAACTTTGACTATTGGGAACAATTTAAAGGCTTTATTTTGATGATTTAAGATGTTTTAAAGTAGTTTAGTATTGCTGCAAATTTATCTGTTTGGGTATTGATTTATTTCTCACTGTTTGGTTTAGGAGAGGACTTTGTAGAAGGCGACTTCTAGTTTTAAAGTGGTCAACCGGATTGTTTACACAAGGTACGTACAAGTTACGAAACCTTGCTTGTAGGTGCATGTTTAAGGACGGATCGAGAACTTATTATCATGTATAGGATCGACTGGGTTAAATTGTTTGGTTATACATTGTGAATTTCAAATGATGTGCACTAGTTTATAATGCAAGTATTATTTGTGCTCTAATTATGCAAGGTGCGCTTAGAGGCAAAGGTATGTGATTGGTGTAAAGATTAAATTATT